AATCCATTCCAAAAGGTTATCAATCAAAATTGTTTTAAAATAAATCTCAAAATAAGTTTCTAAAAAAGAATTCAACAATGTCATTTCACCAAGAGCTGATAGAAAAATATGTGTTCGCTATTTTGTTGCATCAGCATGTGAATTTGCAATTGCCTCCTGTATTGGGTTTTTAGCATAACTGAGCTTCCTGTTGGATCTCAACATAGGTTTCATTGGAGTAGGGGTAAGCTCAACATAGGTTTCATTGGAGTAGGGGTAAGCTCATGGTTATGGTTTGCTTCAAATTTAACAATCTCAAGCATGCCATCATTTTTCAGCTGACATGTCATCTCTGCTAAACAACCCACTCTTGTTATTGGCCTTGCATAGGCTACCTTCTCAGACCTTCTACAGCTTCGTGGTGAAATGCTACAGAGATCCAAACACAATCAGTCTCACAAATGAGACTCTCTTGACTCTTATTCCTAAGACTGATAGCCCTTTCACCATGAATCAATTTCGCCCAATTAGTCTTTGTAACGTGGGTTATAAAGTGGTGGCCAAGTGCTTAGATAATAAGCTTAAGCGCTTTATGCCCCAATGGATCCATAAAAATCAGTCGAGTTTTGTTCCTAACAAACACATCACTGATAATATTTTTGTTTTGAAGGAGACTATTCATTCGATGAAAAACAAGAAGGGGAAGAAAGGAACTATGTTACTCAAGGTCGACTTGGCCAAAGCCTACGACAGGATCGATTGGGCTTTCCTTGAAGACACTTTTTGAAAGACTGACATCCCTGATGGCAGTGTTAATATGCTGATGAAGTGTGTCAACACCACATCAATGCAAGTTCTTTGGAATGGAGGGGAAACTGAATCTTTCAAGCCTTCCAGAGGTCTTAGGCAGGGATGTCTCTTCTCACCCTATCTCTTTACTCTTTGCGTTGAAAGATTGAGTCATTACATCTTAGAGGAAGTTAGGTTGAAGAATTGGAAACATGTTAGATTGTCTCCTAGGGGCCCCCCTCTCTCCCACTTGTTCTTTGAGGACGATCTTGTTCTTTTTGGTGAGTCTAGTCCTAGACAAGTTGACATTGTGTTAAAGTGTTTGGATCGTTTTTGTCTAGCGTCCGAGGAGTTGGTTAGCAACGAGAAGTCCATGGTGTTCTTTTCTAAGAATACTAGAACTAACTCTAGAATGGAGATCAGCCAAAGGCTTGGCATCCATCCAATCAACTGTTGACTTAGGGAAGTATTTGGGTGTTCCAGTTCTTCATGGAAGAATAACTAAGAACACTTACAGATACATTTTGGAAAGAATCGGCAGCAAGTTGTCCTTGTGGAAAGCTAGAACGTTGTCTCTGGCAGGAAGAGTACCTCTTGCCAGTTCAGTTTGAAATGCAATTCCTGTTTATGCAATACAAACGTCTCTGCTTCCTATGTTAGTTTGTGATGATATTGATAGGATGATTAGAACTTTTGTGTGGGGTGGGAATGAAAACAAGAGGAAGGTTCACCTTGTCTCGTGGGATACTATTTGTAAACCTAAGAATCTTGGGGGTCTCGGCCTTAGGTATGCTAGGATTATCAACCAAGCTTTCATGGTTAAGCTTGCCTGGCAGCTACTGAATAAGGGTGATGATTTTTGGGTCTAGATGTTCCAACACAAGTACTTCCATCATGTGGAGGGCAACATTCGACTAATGAAGAAGAGAAATCACTCCGCGCTATGGTAAGCGATCCTGAAAGCCATGCCAATTATGAGGAAAGCTTTGATCTGGAGTGTTAGAGATGGTAAGACAACAGGTTTCTGGACACATCCTTGGGTGGAAAAGGGATTCATCCTTAAAGAGTACACTCTGAGAGACCTGACAGATGAAGAAAGAAGATCGTTAGTTGTAGAGTGGACTACTGAGTCAGGTGAGCAGGATTGGGCAAGGCTGAACAACCTCCTTCCTAATGATATTCTTTTCCACATTGCAAGAAAAGACGTCCCTAGGCCTGATGGGGGAGAAGACACAACGATCTGGGGAGGGGAGAGGGATGGAAGATTTAGCCTAAAGTCTGCCTACAAACTGGTGACAGATTCATTTGAGGAGGAACCCAAGAAGATGTGGAAGGATCTATGGCACTGGAAGGGACCTAGTCGAGTGAAACATTTCCTCTAGCTCGCTAGCCACGAAAGACTCATGACGAATCAGCAAAGAGAGAAAAGGAAACTAACTAATAACAACAACTGTTCTGCCTGTGTTGGGACAGAGGAAACTGCAGAACATATCCTGAGAAAGTGCAGAAGGACTGAAGGAGTTTGGAAACATTTCAGTTACATGATTACAGCCAAGTCGCCAAACGTGAACTTCCAGACCTGCCTTAGCGACAACCTTAAAGATGATGAGGTTGGACTTAACTTTGGATTAATTTGTTGGATCCTATGGAAACAGTGGAACGAAGAGGTGATGGAAGGGAAGAAATTTTCTGAAGAAGGGACCATCCGTAGAGCTACTGCTTGGATTCAGATTAACAAGCAAGCGATTTTGAATGCCAGGAAAAGCTATCTCCCGGCCGCAATCAACAGAGTGGTGAAAGCGGTGGCCTGACAACCCCCTCCTGTGATTTTGGATCCATTGCTATTATCAAAGACTGCAGGGATACTGACATAATCCATACAGTGATTAATACGAATTATACGCCCTAAGGTGTCTATCTTGCTACCAAAAAAAAAGTCACATAATATGTTTCCATTCAAATTTATAAAAATAAAAAATAACATTGTTATAGAAAAAGTAACGTTTTTCAAAATAATAGCTTAGACCAAAACTTGTACAAATCTATAATAATGCAAAGAAGGCTATTAACTATGATTATTTAGCAAAACAATATAAGCCAAACAAAACCAACTTGCAAGTAAGTACGTTTACTAAAACATAGATCTAAGTCTTTCTTCAACTTTTTATTTTTTGGAATTATAGAGAGGAGTGAGGGTGAAGAAATTGAAAGAAGAAATCCCACCACAGGAGTTGGCACTGCACACGCAGACTGCTTTTACTGCTCAACGTGACTGGGATATACTATTATAACCCGGAAGCTGTCTTTGTGTGGGTTGGAGTTGGGTGAGGGCTCATTGGAATCGGACGGGTGTTTGGCGGGTTGGTTGAGATGGAACTGTCATTGGCTGTGTTTGTCTGTTGGATCGGTTGGGGTTCTCGAACGCGTTGGTCACCAGAGCACTCTCTGTGACTGGAGCCTACACAGTTGCGTGATTGCATGGATTTCAGGCGGCCGGTCTATCTTCCTTGCCAGCTGTGTGAGTGTCTTTACAAGCAATCGACGATTTTGTTGGTGGGAGGCTCAGAGAAGTTGGGACATGGGGGGACTGAAAGGGTTTATTGAAAGGAGCTGTGCTGCTCAGTGGCTCTGCAAGTGGCTTAGGGCAAGGTCAGGGTCTTTGAGGTGAGAGGCTGAGAGAGAAGAGAGGTATGTCTTGATGATGTAGACTGGGCTTACTTTCTGAATCTGGAAAGGTAATTGAGGGGACTGATGAGAGAAGCAGAGAGAGAAAAAAGAAAATATGAGGGGATAGAAGCTTGGCTAGGGAAGCAGAAAATGAGATTGACGATTGGCAGAGATATTTCGTTTGTTTGCTTGGTTAGGTTAGCCTAATCTACCCGTAGTACTATATTCTATCTCATCGAGGTCAGGGGAAGCTCTCTTGAAATATATCTTCCTCTTTCTTTGCATTCGTTTTCTCTTCCTTTTCTTGACTGGTTCATTCTCTCTCTTTCTATCTAATGGGGTTTCTTTGATCCTCTTTTTCAGGTTTGTTCATCGCCTCTCTCAAGAACAGAAGGATCCGAGCTCTGCATCAGAGTTGATTCATCCTTCAACTGCGAAGCTCCTATGGTGAGTCGTTATATGGATGCTTTATATTTCGTTTGTTTCAGTGGATCAATCGGAGTTCCCTGATTTCGTTTGTTCAGTTGTTTTGAGCTATGAAGAGAGGGATTTGAGTGTCCTGGAGTGGATATGGAGCTATTTAGAAGAGGGAGGGAGGATTCGAAGAACACCCAGACTCACAGGTTCTATACTGGTTTCACGTGATTGATCCTTTGTCTCTCAAAATTTTGTTTCTGTCATAATGGTTTATATTGACCATCTTTTGTTTTCTCTCTACTTTTGGCTCTCTTCTCCTTTTCGAAAACCAGTAGAGCTTGGAGCAATCAACTGGAAAATTTGAGAGGGTCGGAGAGGAATTGGAGGAGAATCAGATCCCAAAAGTCTGTTTTCTGTGTTTTCCTAATTGAGATTTCTGTTATTCTTTCATCACTTTGAATCTTTATGCAATTTCTCTTGCTTGAACTCTCTCGCCATTTTCGATCTCAAATCCTCTCATTCATCCCCAATCTTCTGAATATTTTATTTTCTTCCAAACTCAAAGCACTTTCTTTTTTGGCTGATTTTTCTCTGATTTTAGGTTTTTTCTTTTTTGCAGTATATACATATTGGCTTTGAAGGATGGGTTTGAAGAGGATTCAGAGGAGACAATCCAGAGGAGAGGTAGATGCCCAAATTTGTGTTTTTGCTTGAGGTGATTGTTTTTCCTCTGGTGAGTTTTCTTTTTCATTTTGTTTGATGGGTCATTTCCTCTTTCTCTTATCAGATTGGTATGCGCAGTCTCTTTTCCAGGAAGATGCTTCGCTATCAGAATCCTTTTGCAAGAAGTCTCCCTCCAGCGGTGAAATTTTGGAACTGCAAAAGCCCTCTCAGTAATCCTAGGTACTTTGTTTATATGTATTCTCTGTCTTTCATATGTTATTTCTTTATCCCATATGTGATTTTGTTTCCCTACTTCAGTAGGTCTTGGTTGATTGTAGGATCCTCATGGGAGTTCTCCTTCTAGGGCGCAGTCTGAACGACTTCTTCAGGCGCTATCGTCGTCACCATCACCTCCTCCATAGCGACTGGTATCTCTCTGCAACTCTTACTTCTAGAATATCTATGTTGTTCATTTATCTCTTCTTTAAGAGCCAATTCCATTTTTCTTTGTTTTCATGGAGTAGGTGAAGGAGATCTTGGGAGGTGAGCGGATCTCGAATTGATAAAGTTGTTGAATTACGAGGTTAGTAGAGGACTCGAAGGAAACCGAGATTCACAGATTATGTTTTTGTTTCAGGTGACTGTCCCTTCTTTTCCTATCGAATGGTTGCATTTCGTCTCTTTACTTGGTCTAATCCCTTCATTCTTTTTATTTCTCACATGGGTTTGTTTTATCACTTCATCAGGTTCAGGCGATCGTTCTCTGCATTTCGGGTGAGTTTGTTCTCACCTTCCTGTATCTCTCTTTAGTAGGCTTTGGTCAATGAGATGATGAATGGTGTTTTATTTCTCTTCAGGTGGGTTGGTTCGATCTCATTTTGGGAGCCGGCCGAGCGTTTGATTGGGAATAGTTGGATGAAGCTGTGTGTGGCCAACGACAATCTCAAGGTGACCAGGAGACAAATGGATTCAATTTCTTTCAATTTTCTTGATATTAATTAGTGTATAGTGGTAGTTTTAGACAATGTCAAAGGGGATCTAAAAGGTGATTTGCGTTATAGGTTTGTTTTGCTCATTGTAGTTACGAACGCTGATTTATTCCTCGGTTTCTTTGATTTTTGAAGCTGGATTTTTTGCTCCAAGGGACAAGAAAATCTAGGTTACTAAATAATCATATTGATTTGGTTTTGAGGTTTATAGGCTTATAGGTTTTTGTTGCAATTCTGGGTTTTTGTTGACCACTCTAGGTTACTAATTAACCTTATGTAGTGGTACTGAGGTTTATAGGTTTTTGTTGCAATTCTGAGTTCATTTTGTGCCAACCAGTTGAATAATTTGTGTTGAACACTTACGTGCTGACCTCCTTTGGTTGTTATTACTGTGCACATCTTCAAATCTTGGTAGAAGTTGTGTAATTGAATGTTGATGTGGATGGAAATTATCTAATATATATTATCGAATGAGACCAACTCTCATGCAACTGTGAAGTATTAGTGTCAGCACTAGACACTCGAGACCTTTTGTATTCACACTCATGGGTTTAGCAAGTAGTTGTTGCTGACTGAGACACTGAGTTGTTTAGTTTTAACTTGCGAGGAAAGGAAAGAGGAGATGAACAAGCTGATGCTCTTGCTGTAACTTTGCCTAGCGATGTTAAGAGTATATTAATCTAACTATAATTGCGTGTGTTTTAATCATGCACAGAGGTTCTCAAATGAAATGAGTATGGAAATGATAGTTAACTGTCTTTTTCTATTGGTTTATTGTTCTTTCTACCTTCTTTATAACTGCTACATTTGATGGATAAGTATTTGTTGTTGTTTTCCCTTTATGCAATCATAATTCTTGAAATTGCCTGCTATATAATAGTTTGACATTATATAGTAGACTTAGTAATGGTTGCCTAAGTAAATGATAATGATTTTGTGTCTTCAAATCAGCTTTGCGTCTTTCTATATTGTCCCTTGCGAACTCAGAGGAGGAACTTATGGTAAATTTTAGAGGTGGCAAATGGATTGGTGGATTGGATTCGTGGATCCATGGATCAAATGGATTGGTGGATTCATGGATTGGATCAAGTGGATTGGTGGATTATCCATGAATCCAAATAACATCCTCAACCTTGGACCAATATGTAAAATGTGAAAAGTTTAGGTACTAAAATGTCATAATGAAAAAATTTAGGTACCAAAATATAATTTTCCAATGAGATTTTTCGTAAAAAAAATTAAATTTTAGATACCAAAATGCAAACTATAAAAATTATAGGTACCAAATAGTAATTTTCCATTTGGATCCATGGATCGATCCATGAATCCGTCAATCCAATTGGATTTGGATCAAATGGATTGGATTTAAATGGATTGGATTAGGTGGATATTTTTAATGGATTAGTGGATTGGATTGAGAATTGCCACCTCCGAAGTTTTGGCTATTTTGGTTTATATTCCTGAAATCTAGACAAATCAAATTGGTAATGTTGCAGTTACGTTATGTAAATGGGAATTAAATGTATAAATGCTTATTAAACTTTAGATGTCTAGGTTTATTAACATAGCTAGCACATTCTTTAAATATATTGTACGAGACACAAAGAGCAACCTTAGATGGTTGTTTATACTTCTAAACAATGCAATAGAGTCCAGTTATGAAATTCTTATTCGTATTCCTTACTTTTTTTTTGCCCCTCATATTCGTGTTGAATCACGCTCATTCATTGACATGGCACTCAATAGGTCAAAAATGAAAAACAGAATTGTAATAATATAATTGTCACACCCATCCCGGCGCAAAGCGCTGATGAAGAAAATCTAGTATATAATAAATGAGACCCCAACCAACCCCGTTAGTTGTTGTTCCTACTTCCGTTCGAAATTTGTGCTAGCTTTTAATTGGGGAAACAATTAAAATGAAAAGAAGAAACATAACCAATTAGGGACTCACACTTGACTGGTTGCAAGAACCCCTACAATCCAGTCTGTAGGTAAATAACTTCCTTTAAATTTTACAAGTCAGAAAACTATATATATATATATATATATATATATATATATATGACACATATTCAAATCAAGTCTCGATATCCTGTTCATGATCCAGCAACTTCCACGACCCATCCGACAACTGAACCATCCATGCCGCCGGCACAAAGTACTCATCCTTCAGCACGTCCAACGACTTGTTCACCAGCGCCACGTCACGCTCCACTGCCAGCTGGAACGCCCCGTTGGACCCGTGAGTTCCGGCCACCCCGTGGAGGTGAGCCTCCAGGTTGTGCCACGTCGACTGGTTCCCGGGGTTACTATGTCCACCGCATTCAGGGTGGCGAGTGCGGCTCCGAGGCTGTGACCGGCCATCGTGATGCTGATTTATTCGTTGCTGTATAGTTGGTGCCATGATAAACATAGTTGGTGCCATGATAACTGGTTCTGGTTGTTGCAGGGGGGCTTCATTAGATGTAAATAATCTAGCAGATTTTTTCTTGTGGTTTAGAATGGCCACTGGTTCAAATAAAAATTGTATATTATCCACATAGCCTAACCGTTATTGCAACTTTTTGTTGCATAGAATTCCACAAATTTTTTATGTCACTTATATAATTTTAATTTTGTGATAACTATTTTAACTTTCAGTAATCTAAAACTATATATATGGTCCTCATCACTTAGACTCAAACCTTCAATATGTGAGACCCAAATTATTATCATTGAAAGTATTTGATACTATCAACCACAAAATAATTACTCCGCATAACCTGAAACATGTTTAACATCTAACGTCTCGCAGTGTTTTCCGTACTTTCACTCAAGCCATCGTTATTCCTCGATTCCTTCGCGATAGTTGTCTAAGCAGCAACATATTCAAAATAGAGTAGAGCACTTGGTCACATTTGAAAAGAGACGAAAAGTATCGGGCCGTAACCCGGCGAGCACTAAAACAAATACCTAAATTCGAAAATTGACAAGTCCTATACTAACTCTGGATCAGAGGAGAGGAGGGCGGCCGCTGTGTCTAAGTTGATTTTATGTAATCTCTATTATACAGTCAGTTCTAAATAAATAATGCTTCCTTAGATTGCCGGCAGCGAGAGGCCTGACGCCTCCTCCTCCTCTGGGAGCGCCATTTCTGTAGGCAGCGGAGGACGCCATTAGAGATAGTGTGCTGTGCCTCGCCAACGATTTCAAATAACATATCCCCAATTTTTTACTGCTAGAGAGAGAGAGGCGGAATGATTTTGGGTTGTTTCTCTGTGCTCACTCTGTTCTGCGAAATTCAAAAAGAAAAAGAAAAAGGAAATACCCCATACCGTCCCATCCCACTAACGGAGAGAGAGAGAGAGACACACACAGCGTCGTGGGGTGGCGGAGGAGTTGCATTTTAAATCCGGGTGCGAGACAGAAGATGTTGAGTTATACATTCATTCAATAGCAAAATGAGTTGAAAAGCAATTTCATTTGATCATTACATATAATAATATGGGTCTCTACTTGAATTTGTTATAGTCGCTTGTTGTGTTGAACAACATGTTACACACATACTATATTGGTCCAACCATTTAGATGCAAGAAAGAGAAAATCAATGAAAGGCCATATAGAACATATAAAGTTGTTTGAAAACTCTAATTGTTTGACGTTATTGTTGATTCTGGCCAAATTCATACTAAATGTGATATAGCTCCTATTATGCGAAGTTCGGATAATAAGTAGTGACAAAATCAATGAAAGACCATATATAAATTATAAAGTTGTTTTACTACTCTTATTGATTAATTCGTTAAAATATAGTCAAGACAAATTACTAGTAAAAAAGAAAAAAAAATTTGGCAGTTTATTTGCATGAATAACCACATTTTTACCTGAATAAGCACTAATTGTGTGAATAATCACCAAATGGCTTGAATCTATACGTGATTTAATCTGCTCTCCCTGGAAAGGGTCATGTGCGGCGTGCTGTTGAACACTTTGAGTATAAGGCGACAACGAAGCTCACAAAGTCAGCTGGGATTGGGCGTACAAGCGCGGAGAAAACCTGGGATGGGACACTGTCTGAGAGTCTACATCTAAATGAGTATGGCTCTAATGAAGGCCATCTAGTGGTGGGATCAAGAAAACGAGGTTTTCATGAATTGGGTGGTGATCCACGAGATGACCCCTCTCCCAAAAGACAATTTACTGAAGTGGATGAAGAGACTGAAGAGGTGGACGTAGCCCTCACTGAATGGCCCCAGGTGGATATATAAATGAGGATGTTTGCTTGGAATGTGAGAGGGATTAGGCCAACCCTCACATTGTGTACTGCTTTAGGTTTACTGCATTCCAATAAGCCTGATCTAGTCTTCATGTCGGAAACAAGATTGGGTCATAGGGTAGTGTCCTATAGGATGCGCGAAATATAATTTGATTTGTCCAATTGTTTTTTTGTTGACGCGGTTAATGCGTCTCGTGGCTGGTTGTTGCTGGGTCCCCCGGAGTTGATGCTCTGGTGTTGAGTCATTCCAGTTGTCATATTTCACTTCGTATTATGAGAATAATATTTCTTATGTGGTTGTGGGTGTATATATTAGTTTCAATGATGCTATTCGTGTGGCGCAATTGAATCATCTACAAAACCTATGTGAAGAAATCCAATTACCATACGTGGTGATAGGTGATTTCAATTCCATCCTTTCGGGAAATGAGAAAGATGGTGGGAATTCTTGGAACTCGGCCAGTTTAGCTGCACTTAGGAACTTTGCGACTAACCTGGGACTACACGATGGGGGTTTCCAAGGGGATAAGTTCATTTGGACCAATAAGCGAATGGGACAAGCTTGTGCTCAGGATAGCCTTGATTGAGCCTTATATTCTCAGTCCTGGGTGGAGTATTTCCCTGAGTCCTTGGTGAAGCATCACACGGATCAGGGGTCGAATCATAGAGCTCTTCTATTATCCGATAAACCTTTCACGCGACAGAGCCGACCTATATTCCTGTTCAATGCACGTTGGGTGGAGAACCCGGAAGTCAAGGAAATGGTCATATTTGTGTGGAATATGACTATCCATGGATCCCCTATGTATAGATTATGGGTGTGCTTAAAATGGCTCTGTTATCTTTTGTATGATTGGAGTAGGGCTGGTACGACTAATTCCCTCCGAAATATCAAGACTCTCTAGACGGAGATTGAGCAGATAAAACACTCGATTC